AAGTAGCTTCTTAGCTTTATGAGGTCATACTTATTAAGTGTTAGTGACTGTGGTGCTGGTGTTCTGTACTATCAGTATCCTGTTTAGAAAGTCCTTTCCTGTACCAATGAGCTCGAGCCTACTTTTCCCTTTCTCTTTTATCATGCTCAGGGTATCTGGATCTATGTGGTAGGTCTTATCCATTTGGAGTTGAGTTTTCTACAGGGTGATAGACATGAGTCAGTTTTAGAACTTCTACACGCAATCATTCAGTCTGAACAGAACAATTTGTGAAAGATTTTGTCTTTTCTCCACTGTATTTTTGTCTCCTTTGAAAAAAATCAGATGTCCATAGATGTGGATTTATGCCTGGATCTTCAGTTCAGTTCAGTTGACCAATGTGTTTATTCTTATACAAATACCATCCTAGTTTTATTACTACAGCTCTGTAGTACAACTTGAAATCTAGGATGGTGATACCTCCAGGAGTTCTCATATTATCCAGGATTGCTTTAGTTCTCCTGAGTCTTCTGTGTTTGCACATGACATTGAAGACTGTTTTCTCAATATCCATGAAGAATTGTTTTTCTTGTGCAAGTCTTTTAATTGCTTGATTAGAGTTATCCCAGGATATTACTTTTTTTTTTATTGAGGCTATTGTGAAAGGTACTTTTACTATGAATTTTTTCTCAATCTGTCATTTGTATATAGGAAGGCTACTGACTTTTGTGTGTTAATTCTGTATCTTGTTATTTTTATAAACTGTTTGAGGGGTTTCTTGGTGTAGATAACTGCTCTAGTCTTTATTGGGTGGGTGATCCACTGTTTGGTTGCTGTTCCCCACTCTGGATCCTAGGCAAGTGTGGTGGGTGTGGGATCCCTGGTAGAGAATAAATTTGATGGTTGGTAGGTGACACAGAGGAATGGAGACAGGCTATGAGAAAAGGATGAGATTTGTGGGGAAAAGAAGGTTTTTCTGGAAAGAACTAAGGAGGCCCTGGGTCAGCATTGACAGGCAAGGTCTCCAGAAAATGGAGGTAGAGTGGGAGAAAGGGCTCCTCAAGACAGGCTGCAACAAGACTAAGAGAAAGTATGGAGAGACAGAAGTGAAATAGGACTCATTTCTGCTGTAGCTCTTTTTACGATTCATCTGAATTATAGAAATCTAAGCAGGAGTGTTTCCAAATAGGTTACAGTGTAGTAGAACTGCACAGAGGCTGACAGCTCTAACCAGATAATCCTTCACGGTTCACATTCTCAACTATGAAAATGAGTAACATAGTACTATGGATTCAGATTCAAAACAAGATAAAGATTGTGATTATGTTTCAAGTTTAATTTTAAGAATTAAATGACATATAATTGCTTTTAATGTACAGACCAAAATTCATATATTCTAGAGCATCTGACCAGGGTCTATTGTATATTAAATGATATTTTTCTTTTTCCCCCTTCCCCTCTCCCTCTTGCTCCAGGCCCACTTTGCTCTGCCCCCACCTCATTCCACATCCCCGCTCACTCCAGCCCCACTCGCTCATAAGAGGGCATCAGATCTCATTACAGATGATTGTGAGCCACCATTTGGTTGCCGGGATTTGAACTCATGACCACCAGAAGAACAGTCAGTGCTCTTAACCACTGAGCCATCTTACCAGCCCAAATGATATTCTTCTTAATCACTGTTTTGTTTTTTAAAGAATTTTTAAAGCATATATAATATTTGTGTGTCTCTCTGTTGGGGTATGTGCATGTGAGTACAAGTTCCCAAAGATACCAGAAGAGGGCCTCTAACCTTAGGAGCTGTATTATAGGGCACTGTGAACCTCCTGATGTGGGTGCCAGAAGCTGAATTCAGGTCTTCTACAGGAACAATACATACCCTTAACCTCTGAGCCCAATCTCTTAGCCCAAGTTATTGGTTTCGTTTATGATGCATGTATAGTTTTAAAATTATTTAATTTTCGTTTGATTACCTGTTGCATTGGGCACCATTTTGAGATCTTGTTTTATTAGCTTTCTAAAGATTCTGTGATAAAGTATCCTTAACTGGGAGTTTAAAATAAGACAAATGTATTCTGCCCAGTTCTGTAGGCTAAGATTCTAAAGCAAAAGAGATGTCAGGGTCATATTCAAAGAAAAGTAAAGAAAGAATATTTCTTCACCTCGTCTAACTCTGGTTGAATCAATTGCAAAAGGCCAGCAGGTATCATTACATAGCACCACCAAAGACGCTGTGGTAGATGTTAAATTAAAATAAATACAGCATGAAGAACTCCCTCAATCATTGACAATCAATGATCTGTTCTGTGGGCCCACAGGACTCTGTGTCTCAAAGTCCACTGAGTTCCTCTAGAAACCATTTACTACTCTGTAATATTGATTCTGTCTTACACTCTCTCCTCCTTTTAGGGAAAGGGGTAAGTTACTAAATCATCTTGGACTCATGGTCGTCATACTCCTGTGATTTTCCCCATGCTATAATTTTTGCCATTTTATGCATTAGTAAAGCTGTGTCTTTTCTACTACTCCATCTGGCTATTGTCAGAGGACTCCAGGAAATGCTCAAAAAAACAAATAGGAATGTTTCTTCACTCCTAAGACATAATAATCTTTTTTATCATTTACTGGACAATATAAAAAAGCAAATATTTTAGAAATAAGAGAAAGAATAAGGATAAAATACCATATATATTTTTTATTTTCTATACTTTAAACTAAAAATATATTAAGATAATTAAATTTGGTAGGAGATACATTTATGTTCAAATATAATAAAATTGTTCTCTTAGAACATAGAATTATTCTCTTTGTTTACACTTTCTTTGAATATTTTCCTGTTCATCTTTTCCTGTACCCAAATTTGTCTTCTTTTGCAATATTTATAGTAAATACTACAGTGAATTATGAATGACCATAACTTCTGAATAAATCTACTAAATGATTAAAAAAAAAGAACTCCCTCACACCTTGGAAATGAATAACATATCATAGAAATATTGAGAAAAACCCTAGCAGCTATGATAAATGTAAGACCTTTACTCTCAGAGATCCATGTTAAACTATGGCAGGAATACAGTACAAAGAATGTAACTAACATAGTTCTCTCTATGTTCTGGAGAGTTTACAGGGATGATGGGTTTTGTTTATTTTGTGTACTGTTGGGTACTGGGCACCTTAATATCTAATACTCCCTGATGAGGGGCTCACTGTCACCTCATCTTCCATCTCTAGAGGATGACACTCTATTTTTGTTAGTGACTAAATGAAAGCTTTAAAGAACTTAGTCCTACCTCACCCTAACCATTAGTTTTTGTATTCTTAGTCCTGGAAAAGAGTTTCTTAAAAACAGTATCCTGGTTCCTTTCCAGTCCCCTAACACTCAAGACCCTTGAACTCACTACACTTCAAAGCTTTCCAAGTGTGGAGACATGAGCTTTGGGGAACATCTGTTCCTCTTGTCTACTTGATTTTGGTTCTGTCCTTGGCTTTAAACCTCAGGGTTCTGCTGGAGAGTCTGGCCATCACTCCACTCTCAGCTATCATATTGCTTCCTTCGTGGAGGACTTTGTTCCTTTTCTGGAAGCTAGTCTTCCTTTTTTTTCCCCCACTGCTTCGGGGATTTGCAACTTTATTTATTAGTGGTGCTCAAAACAGGCATCTTTCTAAATTCACTTAACCTTTGGCTTCAAACTGACCTTAAAACCACAATGATCCTATGACTTCCAGAGAAGTCAAGGGATTTACCCAAATGTGTTTTATTAAGGTTGAGCAATTAAGTACCCAGATGTACTCCCAGAATAATTAACTACCAAGTTGTATTTAAAAGAAAATGTCTAGTGCATTATCCTAAATTTATATTTGAATAGAATTTGGAAAGTAGGATTCATCCCACTGGGTGAGAATTAGACCATACCACAATCTGGAGACAATTTTGAAGCAAGTTTAATTAAATACTGGCCAGAATGGTGGACTCTGGCCAGATCCATTCCTGGGTTTCCAGAAAATGGCAGAGTCATGTTTTGCTTAGGCTTAAAAAGCAAAGCCATAGGGCTACTGTATTTCCCATGCCCTGGTACATGCTCGCCCAATGTACCAGGGGCAAGCATATATTCTGATGTATTTCCTATCTATGTACCTCCTACCTACATTCAATCAGGGTTAAGCATGTACCCCAATGTGTTTCCTGCCCTCTTACCTCTTGCCTACATATGATCAATCATATCTGGCTCAGTTGGGTCAAACTTGTTTAGGGGAATAAAAACATGTGGCTTGTTATCTCCCACCAACAGTAGTCTTCAGTATTTTAGGAAGTATTTGTCCTTGGGCAAGTTACAGGTTAGCTTTAACTTTTACAGTAGTTTTATTTTAAAACTGGAAAAAAATATAATTTTAATAAAATTCTTATTAAAATGTAAAGCAGCTATAAGGAGACAAAGCAAGAATAAAGCAAGGCTTGTTCTGACATTAGATGAAACAATGTTTATTCATGATAGGGGGCACTTGTGCAGACGGTCAAAATTTCTACAGAAGAAGATGGGATCTTGCCTTATAAGGACAAAAACTATTACCACACCACATCGCTCTCTTCCAGATCTGATTGGCCTGGCCAAAAAAAGCTGGGATGTATAGTTAGCAGAAAACTATCAAAATGGCCAACATTTATGTGAATCTGCTCTGTGTTGTTCAGTCTGATGATGATAAAATTGTTGTTTCAGTTACTCCTGTTGAAATAGAGCCACGAGGCCTGGAATGGTGGCTCATGCTTATAATCACTGTATTTTGCAAACTGAGTCAGGAGATTCAAATTCAAACACAGACTAGACAGATTAGAGTGACATGCCAGAAAACAAAATAAAATTTTGAAAACCAAGTATAAGCATAAAATAGCCTTGATATCATTCAATCAGACAGAAGATATACTTTGTTTCCTTTTCGTCTCTGCCCTAACACAGAAAGAAAACCCAACAGGAAACATTGGAGATTTGAGTTTGTTGACCTATTTCTCATCTTTTGCTTCGTAGATTTGCTTGGAAGCATAGAAGAAATCTTTCCCAGCCTCCCAAAACATGTCAGGGTTTGGGGAATGAAGGATTCTGTTCCAGAAGGTATCGTTTCACTCAAAGAAAAGCTGAGTCTTGCCTCTGATGAGCCAGTACCACCAAGTCATCATGTCACCTCAAGCCTCAAGTCTACGTGCCTCTACATTTTTACCTCCGGAACAACAGGTATGCATCTCTCTCTCTCTCTCTCTCTCTCTCTCTCTCTCTCTCTCTCTCTCTCTCTCTCTCCCTCTCTCCCTCTCTCCCTCTCTCCCTCTCTCCCTCTCCCTCTTTCTCTCTCTCTCCATGTATGTTGTGTTGCTGTGTTGCATGTATGGATGTTTATGCCAGTGCATACATGTAGAGGCCAGAATAGAATGTCATGTGACCTCCATTGCTCTCCTCCCTGTTGCCTTGAGGTAGGTTTATCATTAGACCTTTCTGACTAGATTTACTGACTAGCTAGTGTGTGTCTGTGTGACCAATGCCTGTGTTACACACACTACACAGACATGATGCACATACAAATAATTAAAAATAATAAAATCTTAGCTCTGATGTGTTAGATCTCAAGTTCAGGACAGATGGCTAACTGAGGAGTCTATTTAATGAATCAAAATAGACATGACTGTCAGGTTGTCTCAACATCGGTACATACTACAGAGTCATCCTTGAAGGGACTCCAGCAGGCCGGAACCTGGAACACATGACTTTGGCAGACCTTACCCTTCCTCCATTTTCTCTGCCTTGGTAAAAACTACCGGATTATATTCCTAAAGGTGTGGGGCTGTAGCTCGCTCCTGGGTGTGGGTTTTGTTAGGCTGAGTTGAACCGTGGCTCAGAGGGCAGAAGCGCAGGAATGTGACTGAGTTTACATCACGCAGCCAGACTCAGGCTGTGAGAAGTCGCAAAACTCCGCTCTGGGCACTGGGGCAGAGCTCTTGGATGAGGATCTCTGGGCTGAGGCAGCTGTGGGGAGGCCTACGTATGGTCTCAGCCCTTGGGCACCCAGACACCGCTGGGAGACCAAAGAAGGACTGAGACTTGGGTGGGTGGGGGGGCTACATACAGGCTGGACTGGCCCGAAGCCGACAGGGACTGAGGGAGAGAAGCTCTGGCAGCGCCCCAAGGGGTGGAGACTGTTGGTCATGTTGACTCGCTTGGCTGGGTCATGGCTGGCTCGGCTAGCTTGCTTGAGTTGGCGGCCTCCATGGCTGGAACACAGAGAGGTCCTCCAACCAGAGATTAGGTGGCAGCTCGGTAGTTGAAGACTGTCTCCACTGTCCCCCACAGTGGGCCCCAAGTAGGGGAAGTCCATGGTTTTAAAAGGTTTATTGTCATGGTGGAACGTGGCTGAAGCTGTACCCCGTACCCTGTGGCTCTTCTGCCTGCAGTCACACACTATACCTGTGGAGGGCTGCTAGGGGCGTTGCCCTACATTACTGAAAGATGAGGATCAACGGAGACCTTGGGCCTTGTGTCAGGAGCCTGGAGTCCGGGAGTATGGCAAAATGTATGTCGTCCCTCGCAGGGATACCTGTTGGGTATCCGGCCATCTCTAGCCAGTGCTCAACCAGAAACCATGGTATCCTTTCAAGGTCCTCTGCCCCACATAAAGCTAGGCACCAAGATCTATTCCATTGTTTGGCTACTCCTCCTGAGTCTAACTACCAAGGTCCAGCTATCGAAGTATTGAAATCCAGCAATCAAAAGCCCCCTTTGGCTACCATAATTACCCTGTCCAATCAAGATTAAATACTTCATCCTGACACAGGGATTCCCCTTTTATCTTTATAAACTGTCATTTGCCTATGGGCTACCCCATCTCCTCCCTATCTAGAGGCAGTCCTTTGCCCCTCCCTGGGCAAATACCCCTTCTCCCTTCACCTTAATTCCATTCCTCTTCTCCTCTATCTCCTGTATTTGTCCCTTATTTCCTGCCCTCTGTCCCTCTGGGACAAATAAATTTCCTTTGTGCTAAGAACTTGGTCTTGGAGAGTCTTGTGCTGGGTCCTTTCAATCCTTGATGGCATACCCTGCCCCTTACCCTGAACTCTCCAGCCTAGGGACTGATTTGGGCCTCTTCCCCAAGCTTCTCTTCCCTATATAACCCAGCCACTTTGGCTATTCCAGTCTCTAGGCCTCAGCTTCTCTCTTGCCTCTCTTCTCATTCTATTTTGCTCCCTCCCTCATCCAGCCTGGGCTCTTCCAGATGCCTCTGACTATGTTTTCCCTGGAATATACAATAAGCCTTCTCCTCCAACCATACTTAGGGCTATTCTGTCGTTATGTTTTCATTCATGATATAGTGCATGCTTTTGATGCTAGGACTTGGGAGATGGAGACAGGCAGTACTCTGTTAGCTCAAGGCTAGCCTAGTCTACATATTAGTTCTAGACCAAACAGGAAAACAATGAAATGCTGTCTTGATAACAACATATGTTTCAGCCATATGTAACAAATTAACATCTGAGAAAGCATGTAAGCAAGAAGACCTAAAGTTCTCTTGTCTGAGCACTTTCAAATGCAGGTGGAGAAGTTCATCACTTTGACTTTAAAAGGCCAGTTGTTTCCATTTTGGCAAATCCCCATTCTCATTGGACTTAATCTCATCTGAGATTTCCTTAGTGTGTAAGGACAAAGGACACTGAAACTTCTGGAGACTTTAGCTCCAGAACTCCACCAGTTTAGTCTTGAAGGCCCTCTTATCATTGTCTGGAAGCCAAGAAGGTTAACGCCAAGAGACTGTCCACTGGAGGGAGGCTTGCTCATTGTGTAGCAGGTGAGACACAATCAAGGATAAAAGCAAAAGATAAGCAAGAAAAAGAATGACCTACATGTAGGTCTCAGAGAGGTGAGGATGCCAGCAGGTCAAGGGGCAGTAAGGAAACCTAGCTCAAGAGCTGTGTGAGAGAGGGGACAATGGGCCTCTATCCCTTAGATTATAAAGATGAAGTATGGGCTAGATTAAAGAAAATACTCATAAAGGAGGGAATTTACATGTCTCTGGTGTTGGTCATTAGGTTTCTCCTGGTCAAAACCTACAGATGGTGAGGGTTTGGGTCAGTGACTTGAGGGACATGTTAGTTGCTGTAGCACACTGTCTCATGGTGATAGAAAGTTCTCTGAAGCTGGAAGGGACAACTGGCTTCCCAATAACACAGATCCTGAGATAACAAGTATGTTGAACTAATTTGTTCAACCTCTTTGTGATACCACCTCTTCCTCAATAAGGACACACAGCTGTAAATAATCCCATGCAGTTTATCAAGGTGACTTTGGGACATCCCTGTCCCAGACATCCTTCCTTCTCCTTCAGTCCTCTCCAGCTGCTGTGTTCTTGCCTTGAGTTTGTTCTTTACCATCACCATGGAAATTCTTTCTTCATTGAGAGCTGGTACCCTACTCACCAGAGCATCAGCCATTTTACTCTTCCATCTCTCCCTGCCCAGTTCTTTATGTAGCATCCTGATAAGGGATACATGGAAGGGAACAAGCTTTTTCACTTTTTATTGATTACTTTATTTATTGACATTTCAAATGTTGTCTCCTTTCCAGGTTCCCCCTCCAGAACTCCCCTAGCCCATCCCCCTCCCCCTGCCTTTATGAGGGTGCTCCACCACCTGTCCACCCACTCCTGCCTCAGAGCGAGCCCTAGCATTCCCCTACACTGGGGCATCGAGCCTCCACAGGAAAAAGGAACTCACCTCCCAGTGATGGCTGATAAGGCTATCCTCTGCTACATATCTAGCTGGAGCCATGGGTCCCTCCATGTGTACTCTTTGGTTGGTGGTTTAGTCCCTGGGAGCTCTGAAGGGTCTGGTTGGTTGATATTGTTGTTCTTCCTGTAGGGTTGCAAACCCCTTCTTCTCGGAAGGGAACAGTTTCACAAATTCTTATATATCCCAAATCATCTTTATTCTATCTTTGCAGATGGAAGACTGTTTGTAGAACTGTAAGTTGGATTTTATTTTTATTCAGGATTTTGATTTTTGGATTTCCTGTGTGATGGAACTAGGTGGCAAGTTCTAACAGAATCACAACCTGAAACAGGTCTCACGTGGGAGGTACATACAGAGGCTGCCTATTCAGGGAAGGAAGGGAAGAAGAGAAGGGGGAGGGGAAACTCGGACTTTTATCAGGCGGTGGCACATGTACGAGAGGACACACAGCAGGAGCAACAGTGTGTCCCTTCTGGGCAGCTAGTAACAATGTGTCCTGTCGCTGAGTCCCTGGGAGCTGGCTGTGGAGATGCTTGATTGGCAACATTGTCCCAGAGTCTCTTTCGACTGTCCCTGGAGGTGCCTGATTGCTAACACTGTGTACACATTGATACATCTTTTTTCTCTGTGTTTCATGCCCTTGAATCTCCAGGAGTCCATAGTATCCTGATGATACTATGCAGGACTGGTCTCGTTTAGTCATTTTCTGGGAAGCTAATAACTATTTTCAGTCTAGGTATTATTGCTTTATAGCTCTATGTGTTTTTAAAATTAAAAAAAAACAAACATACATTTCTCCTCTTTTCTTTTTGTTCCTCCTCCTTTTCCTTCTCCTGTTACTCCAGTGCTTTGCTCATTTCTCCATATTTGAAGCCTTTCCATTTCTCCAGATTGAGCCTCTTGGACTAAGTCATAAATTCCCTATTTTTTTCTATTTTCCTTCTCTTCATTTTTTTTTTTTTTACCTTTTGAGAGATCTATTTCTCCACCCTGTGTTCTTTGAATATTCTTCTTTGAGAAGCCTATTATTGTACTCTTCATAATTTACTGTACCATATCTTTCAAATGTCTTTATCTTGTCTGGTTTGCCAATGTTTTATGTTTTAGTTTATATTGCTTTGTTTTACACTATTGAATTTCCTTAAATACTGGGGTTCTTTTGACTGCCTGTTCATATTTAAAAGCATAGGTAGTAAAACCCAAAACAAATGACGTCATGACTAGGCCATTATGCCCCGGTGGGATTTAGTTACTAATTGCTTTCCTTTCCTAGGCTTTGGTGTGTCTGTGTGTGTGTTGCAGAGAGTACCCCTAGCTACCTGTCTTCATTTGTGAGCTACTCAGATGGCTCAGAAAAGAATCTCCAACAATAACAGCAACAAATATCAAGTGTTAAAGGGGAAGTGGGAAGTTAGGAATGTTTGTACACTTCCTCTTATCTCTCTGTTTTAGCTTCCATTTTTCTTGACCTTTCCAGAATTTTTTATTTGTTTGTTTGCTTGTTTGTTTGTTTCCAGAGAAAACCTCTTAGCTGTCTACAGGTTGTTGGGACAGCCCATGACTAGAACTGTTTCACCACAGAACTTCCCACATAGTAGCTTATTTAAGCTTACACCTGTATTGTCTACTCTTTGAGGTGGCTAACTTCCTTTTTCATGATCCTTTCTGGGGTCCTCTGGAGACAAACCAACTTTCTTTTGGCCTCCCCTTATATTTAGCTTTGTTGAATAGGTTCTGTGTCTGAGCACACTTTCATCTCTTTAATGAAACTCTGGGGCTGTTATCGTCTGTCTGCCTCCTTTCTACTTAGGGTCTCCAGATATGTTCAGACTCATCCTGGCATTACCAGTCGGACTTGAAGAGGTGGGATTAGGATTTTCTAACAAGGCCATCTCAGCATGAATAGGGCAACTATGTATTCAAATATTCCTTAAATCTTGGGAGGAAACTAAGTCTTAACTTGTTTTCTATATCTGGGGCCAGTTGCCACTACCATAAAGAAAGTTCCCTTTTTATATTCTCCTTTCTCCTTATGTATCCTTCCTTCATGCATCCAAAATAATAAATTTTCACAATTACCTTCCCCAAACTACACTTACCTTGGAATTTTCTTTCTCTTGGCATGTTCTAGACCTTATCTGTCCTGTAACTTTCAGGTCATATGACGTGTCCTACCTCCCCTCTTTTTTCTTGTACCCTATCCAATGACCTTTTCAATCAAAACTAGATTTAAGGAGTTCTAGTGTCATGAGTCATAAAAGTTTAAAAGTGTCAAGAATTTGAGAGCCCACATAAGGTAGCCTTTTCTCAAGAAAAAGTTCACCAAGAAAGATGCAAACAAGTGCATTGTATTGGTTTTAAAAATACCACTGATGGATTATCCAGAATCCCTATGCTCATTGACATCTAAAGCTCTTTTGGCTTTTTGTTTTTCTTCTTCCTTCCTTCCTTTCTTCCTTCCTTCCTTCCTTCCTTCCTTCCTTCCTTCCTTCCTCCCTCCCTCCCTCCCTCCCTCCCTCCCTCCCTCTTTCTTTCTTTCTTTCTTTCTTTCTTTCTTTCTTTCTTTCCATCCTTCCTTCTTTTTCTCTTCCCCTCTCCCTCTCCCTCTCCCTCTCCCTCTCCCTCTCCCTCTCCCTCTCCCTCTCCCTCTCCCTCTCCCCTCCCCTCCCCTCTTCTCTTCTCTTCTCTTCTTTTCTTCAAGACATGGCTTTTCTGTGTAACCTTGGATGTCCTAGAACTCACTGTGCCACCAAGCCTAGTGTGTTAACATTTTACCCAAGAGCCCTAATCTTGGTTTGGCTTATTTTTCTGTTTGTCTTCTTCATTAAAATCTAAACCTCATCAACTTATGATCATTTTCTGAGAAGTTCCTATCCCTTGCCTCCTTTATCAAAAATTTTGCCATGTACCTTCCATTGTTTTGAGTAAGTTTATGAGTTTATTACACATGAAAAAATAACTAAACTGGTAAGGGTAACAGTCAAGAAAGTCACTACAGTGACTTGAAAGGTGTCAGGAAAATTAGATACAGTGTTGCTACTTTTGGATCTGCCTCTCCCTGAAGATCATTTAATTTAATTTTTGGTTTGCCCTGAGCTTCAGTACACCGCAAAGACCGGAGGATGTGGTAACTAACACATAAAGCTTCTCTGTAGCAGAAAAAGCATGGATATTTGCTCTCCTGGATGAGGAACAGAATGCTGTTCTTTCCAGTCATGACTAGAGCTGGTCTCACTTCACATATTTATGTATAATTTTGAGGAGGAAATTTGGAGAGATTTTCAGTACAGGGTGTAAAAGATCAAACTAATGGGAGTAGCTACAAAGATATCTTTTGAAAAAGAACATGATTTTAAGTTAGTGGCAAATATTATCCCAACTTCATATGTGAGGTCAAGTCTGACCCCATTAATGAAGCAGAGCATGAAGTCTGTCAGGAATTTCAGAGCTGGTACAGAACAAGGTAGACTTGAGAGTTCTTGTAGGGCATTTGAAGTCTCCATGGACTGAGACTGTCCTTTGATGCCTCCTGTGGTGTCTCAGGCTTGGCTTCCCTGCCTGCCTCCAGGAAAACTCCCTGCTTGGCCTCATCCCCTTAACATTTTATGAATCCATCGAGTTTATTAATGAGATGGCTTGTTAGTTTCTGTGGCTCTGGGGATTGGATTCAGGGCTGCATGCTCATGAATGCTAATGGAGGGAGCATTTTACCACCGAGCTGCATTTCAAACCACAATGAGGAAGCCAAGTTGTCTTCTGTGATAGAGACATGTACCTTGAAACACATAAAAATGTTAATGTTCAAACATCATATAGCATCAAATGGGCTAACCTTTCAGATTTTTTGATGTATGTATTTCTTACACCCACATATTCAAACACAGTAATAATAAATTCAAAAACAATTTAAAAAATAAGTCTGTAGATACCAGTACTTAAAGCACTATGAAAAATGCAAACATTCTGGATATTACTTGCAACTGTACATTTTCATGAGAAACATTATATGTGGAAGAAGGCTAGACAGAAAAGAAAACTGTTTGGCTCCTAAAATGTATGGAAACGTTCCAACATATTTCTTGATCCTTGAATTTTTAAAGGATCATATGACTAGACATGTTTAAACATGATGAAGAGAATGGTCCATAGTGAGAGTCCTACTTGGAGGAATTGCTCTCTGGAAAACTTCTGCTTTACAACATTTAGATTTTATTATGATCCCTCTCATTTGAGGGCACATTTTTTTTCTTATGTTAGCATTCCTTTCATTATTTTAGCAGATTCTACACATTTCTAGAATTTGCTATATAATGTGCTATTCTAGATTCTAGAATAATTTGGTGTATTTTTGTCTCAATCTTTTGTGTAGTTGGTATCAGGATAATCTTTCTTTCATAGATTTCTACATAACAGGATATATATATATATGTGTGTGTGTGTGTGTGTGTGTATGTGTGTGTGTGTGTATACATCATATACATATACATATATATATTCTACCATTGAAGTTATAGAACAAAAGAACTTATAAGTCAATCCATTCAGAAGATACAGTGGAGGCACTAGACAGGGCTACAGCAAAGTGGGGACATTTTTTCAATATGCTTCAGACATTATTTTAAAGCGTTCTTAGCTGTAGGTTGATGAAGGCCAGAAGCCTGCTAAACTTAACAATATGTTCCAGAAGGTTTACCCAATGATCATGAGAAAATTAGCTCATATACAAAGGTAAACATGAATAGCTATTTTCTAAAGCATATAAGCTAACCAAGGTAATCTTTTCTTCTCCAGCTACATTCCATATTTCCATAATTATGATAAATTTACTTTGCTGAGGTCAATATGCATGATCGTTAACCTGGATGGCAATCCCTCAGAGAATGTGTATGGGCTAATGATTCTTCCTTTCCTTCTCTCCCAGGTCTACCCAAAGCAGCTGTGATTAGCCAACTGCAGGTGTTGAAGGGATCTGTTGGGCTATGGGCATTTGGCTGCACAGCTGATGACGTTGTTTATATAACCCTCCCTCTGTACCATAGCTCAGGGTCTCTCCTTGGAATTGGTGGATGTGTTGAGTTGGGTAAGTATCTTTTTGATAAGTCATCATGTTTAATCAGAGATTATGTTTATTATAACTTGAAAGTATTCATAGAATTTGAAGGGACTGTATGCATATTGCACAATTATAAGGTGCTCTTTGTGGAAAGAACACACTTTCATAACATTGTATATTCTTAAACTATAAAGAATAAGATCCTGGCCACTTGCCCTTGTGGTATAGACTCCTTTTTCCTTGTGGTTGCTCATTCTCTTGCAGACTAGTCCCCTGATCCCCAGACAGTCAGTCATAGTGAGTACATATGTCAGCTGCATTACAGCTTAGAGCAATCTCTGACACCACGATTACCTCAGCAGCATTCTGCTGAGCAAAACAAGTCAAAGCTCAGACAAGAGTCTAGATATGAACACTGGAAAAAACAGACTCTGCCTCTTCCAGGCAAGAAGAACAAGCTTGTATTACACAGATGAATTGTAAACCCAATTTCTTTTCTCCCTACACTCTGTCCCAAACACCCAGGAAATCTAATAATAGAGTTTATGATCCAATAGATTACATTTGCAGACATGCGAGATGATGTTTCATTTGCTAGCTCCAAAATAATAGAGTTCATTAATGACTGCTAAGTGTGTGCCTGACCTATGATTGCAAGTCATTCAGACTGTGATCAACACTTACAGGAAACAATTATCAATTGTTCAAAGTATATGTAAGAATATGTATAGAGACATACATTGCTGACAAAATTGGGTTGTTAAAAGTAAGTGTCGGACCATAGTCACTTCTCCACAGACACAGCAAGATGATTGTTCATACATGTACGTATAAATCACCCTTGTGAGAGTTAAGGGAACTGGATGACTCACCAGAGCACCTAACTTGAGGATAACAGAAAGAATGAGGGAGGAAGGGATACAGGGATGAGAGAGAGAGAGAGAGAGAGAGAGAGAGAGAGGAGGGGGGAGATGGGGAGGGGGAGAAGGATAGAGGGAGAGAAGGAGCGAGAGAGAGGGAGGGAGGGAGAGAGAGAGAGGACAGAGGGAGGGAGAGAGAGGGAGGGAGAGGGAGAGAGAGATCCTCTGTGGAAGAGAGGCATTTGACCTAGGTCTGTTCTTGAAGCCTAGTGCCAGAACAGTGTAGTGAAATCCACTGCTAGTCCCAGGAACCCCACTGCCACACTGTACCTGTTTTGCACTGAGCTATGGTTTAGTAACTGTCCCTACCATCTCTTCTTGAACAACCAGGGACAGAACTGGGAGCAAGACTTCATCCACTGTGAAGTAGAGCATGAAAACAAGTGTGGGTACCCATTTTAGAACTTGGAAGCAGTAAAAAATGGGGTAGTCATAAGACCAAGTGATTTTACTCATGGATACATGTCCAAGGGAACTCATTATGAAAACATTATGTCACACTTGGCCATGGGTATGCTTATTATTCTTGTTGGCCAAGAGAAGAAGCAACACAAATACACACTACTAATGTATTGACAAACAAAATGTTACATATCCATGGATATATTCAATCATAAGGAGTAGGAAGTGTTAATACATGTTACAAGATAAACAGACCCAAACAACATTTTATAGTAAATGAAAGACCGGGTACAATACGTTACACTAGTCCAGAGCAGGAAAGTTTAGAGGCAGATGCTCATAAATGATCACCAAGGGTATGGGGAGTTGGGAAGGGGGAGTTAAAAATTGGAATGACTGCTAAGGTGATATAAAAACAAATGCCCTAGAATTAGGTAATGATGTTGATGATGGCATCTTTGTGACTATATGAAAAATCTCAGGATTGTATACTTTAAATTGTGAATTACATCCGAATTAAAAAATGCACACCATGTTAAAATGTTATTAAAGCTAGATTCTATACCCATTAATGAACTTTCCGTTGATGGGATTTTTAGCACAGCTTATTAAATCTTGACTTCAGAGTATAATGAAGCTGCTTTAAAGTCTTCACAATAAACTGCATGTTTTTGTGCAAAGATAAAATGAGGCACTATCATTCATCTCTGAGAAGAAGGATGGATGATCTGCCCAGTGCCCATGGCAATATACATGTACTTCCAGTAATGTAGTAATATACATACATGTACTTCCAATGCTGTGGTAGTATACATGTGCTTCCAGGGCTGTGGGGGTATATATGCAAATTACTGATTTTGAGTTCCATTCCGCAAATCACAGCAAGTGCATTTGCCATCTATACTACATGACTACACTAAGACATGGATCTTCAAAGTCATGTTTCCAAGTGTGTTTGTTACCAATGATTGTGGATGAGGCATAAAAGCCTGGGAAGTGAACAGATCTGTTAGGACATCACAATCAGTTGTGTGCCATGTTAACTTAGTGCCTGTTTTTAATCCCTTCTCATAGGGGCCACATGTGTGTTAAAGAAGAAATTCTCCGCAAGCCAGTTTTGGAATGATTGCAAGAAGTACAATGTGACTGTGTTTCAGTACATTGGGGAACTTTGTCGTTATCTGTGCAAACAACCTCAGGTAAGAGTGTTGCTGTGGAGACACTGAAGGCTTCAGGTAGAATATGCTTTCTTCGCTTTCAGTGTGCAATCCTTCAGTATAGAATTTATCAAATACACACGGGTGCCTATAGTATACAAGATAAAGGAAATATAAAAGTCCAAGAAAATAAGAGGGCCACCCAAAGAAGTGTCCATAATACACTTTGTTCTGCAGCAGGGCCAGGCAGATCCATAGTCTGGTGCACTTCAAGTTCAGGCCGATTCCAGTTTGATTGTGAAATTAGATGCACAGATTTACAGAAAAGTAATTCCAAGTTGAAAGTAGATAATGCCTAAAAATTCTGGGCTTTAAAAATGGCAGCAATTAATAGTTTCCTTTTGAGTCCACGATTACATTGGGTATATTACTGTATATACATATATTACATTGGGTTTATTACTGTTCCTTTTTTTATTAAATGTTGAAAGGAAACTTTATTCTGTACTCATCCCCCACCCCAAGCAGTCAAGCTGACATTCTTTTGATCAGTTGTGGCTGCATGAAAAATCGGTGAGTGCAGAGATTTGACGTAGCCTGGGGTTTGTCTTTCTGACTTATTTGCTTTTACTGTCCTTGGCTTTGTTCTGGTCTCATTTATCTTCCTAAATGCAAAAACAAAACAAACAAAAAAAACCTTTCTGACTTTCTAAACCCTATTGACAACTAAGTTGTGTTTTATTTTCTTTAATCAACATGAACCCCTTCCAGAAGAGCTATAGAACATGCTACCCTTTGTGAGGAGGGACAGCAGAGCCATGGCTCGGAGCTACACCTCCTGGCCTGAGTTGCCTCTCCCAGCATGTTTGTCAAGGTGTGGATAGATGGTAGACTGGGATAGCTCTTCTCTTCTTCCTGGTTAAAATATTAACACTGCTGCTTCCACTCATTACGTACAAGCCAGATGAAACTAGGCTGGGAGCCCTAAATAAAAAAATAATGAATATGTGCGATTGTATAGGACAGATAAACACAGAAAAGAATGAATGTGACTGTGGATGTGGATAGCCTGATCTACAGGAAGCTTTTATTCATGAGAATGGATTTCATCACGGGGCGACTTCCTGTCTGCTTGTCTCCTTTTGTCAGAAGCCATTTGTATTTTTTCTTATCAGCAAATCTGTATCTATTTAAAGAACATTTGGCTTCATTATTCTTTCTCATCATACACACATACATGCATACATACATACATACATACATACATACATACATGAGGTTTTAAACCATGGTCTATGGAATACTCTGTTTTGTTCCCATTCTGTAAGCCTGCCTAACTTGCTGCTTGTACTGTCTCAGTATATTATTGTAGTGTTTGCAAGGAAAGCCAACTGTTGGAGCACATGGTTTTTCTTAACAAGGCATAGGTGTGTACTAGGGACATGCATGCATGTTATTGATAGGTTTAGTCCAAGAGATCATACCTAGAATCAGAGTGGAAGGAGCAAAATCCCTGCCATCTGCTGCTTATGCTCTTAGACGACCATTTCGCATGAAACCCTGTTTTCTGTAGTAAGCAGCTCTGCATGCTGGGCTGTAGGCAACAAACATTTGGTTTTGTTTTCTGTGTGTCCTGCTTTTGCCTCTCTATGTATCAACCAACATTCTCAGTTCCTTAAAACTTAAAGTTATGCAGAATTTTCTGCATCTCAAGAGAAACTTTGAAGTGTCTGTTTCTGTGGGCATCTGTACTGGCTGATTCTGTGTCAACTTGTCTCAAGCTGTTATCACAGAGAAAGGAGCCTCCCTTGAGGGAGTGCCTCCATGAGATCAGCTGTAAGGCATTTTCTCAATTAGTGATCAAGGATGGGAGGGCCCATTGTGGGTGGTGCCATCCCTGGGCTGGTAGTCCTCGGTTCTAAAAGAAAGCAAGCTGAGCAAGCTAGGGGAAACAATCCAGTAAGTAGTATTCCCCCATGACTTCTGCCTCCAAGTTCTTACTCTCTGTAAGTTCCTGTCCTGACTTCCTTTGGTGATGAATAGCAATGTGGAAATGTAAGCTGAATAAACCCTTTCCTCCCCAACTTGCTTCTTGGTCATGATGTTTATGCAGGAATAGAAACCCTGACTAAGACACCATCTAAAGAGGGTCTTCAGCCCAGATGTATTAGGATTTCTGAGTTGGATGGGAGTCTGTGTTCTGGAAGCACAAGACTGTTTCTGAGAAGGAGTTGCTGCACCACATAGCAGCTTAACAAAGAGGATTTTATTTTATCTTTTTTTAAGTAATCAGAGATTCAACATTGGTGTGACTCCTTTGTGGTTGTGATCACACCAATCTGATACTTGGTACTGAAAGCCAGATGGGCTTGTCTGTTGAGAACTAAGCCGTAGAATATCTCTGATAGAAATTCTGACAGTGTCAGAAAATCTGTCTAACTGTTAAGAGGGACTTGAAATGGCTGAGGAATAGGTGTTTTCTATGGTTCTTAAATGTCTCTATCCAATCTATCATCCATCTATATATCTATCAGTCAACTATCTATGTATCTATCTATCAATCATCTATCTACCTATCAGTCATCTATCTATCTATTCATCTACATCGATCATCCATGTATGTATCTATCTAATCTATATCTATATATCTAATCTATTATCTATATATCATTTATCTACATCTATCTCTCTATCTATCTATCATCCATCTATCTATCTATCTGTCTATCTATCTATCTATCTATCTATCTATCATCTATCTATCTATCTATCTATCTGTCTATCTATCTGGGATGGCAGGTGTGAAGATCAGTTTAGTAGTATTAATAATGGTAAAGATTTGAAAATAATGTAGTAATCAGAAAATAAATGATAATCAGAAAATAAATGATTGTCTCTAAGACAATCATCTGTTTTCTTTCTTTTTTTCTTTCTGCTTGCTTTCTTTTTAAATTTCTTTTAACAGGTACTGACAGCTTTCTTGCATGTATAACTTTGTGTCACATGCCTGGTGCCCATGGAGGCTAGAAAAGGGTGTTAGGTCTCCTAAAGCTAGGTCACAGACAGCTATCATCTGCCAGGTGGGTGCTGGGTATCGAACCTGGGTCCTGTCCAAGGGCAACTAATAATTCTCTTAATTGCTGAATCATCTTTCCAGATCCTGATTTTTTTCTTTTAAAGAAGACACAGTAGAATAAAGAAGGCTTAAGCATCAGAGGAACAAAATTGATATTTTGAACCAAGAGATTCTGCCGTCCTTTTGATTCATTTGGCTTTCTATAAGAGCTGAGCATTAAGATGATTATCTCTCTCATTTAAAGATATATAACCACAGCCCATAAAAGTTCAAGTCTGTGGAATCTGATTTACAGACTTCTTTTTGTATTGGCTTCAGTACCATGCCAATACATTTCACAATGATTCTTGATGAAACTCATCTCTAACTTGAAAAGCATCCAAGAATTATGCCATATAAAGGATTTCTGTCTGCTCAAGCAAAACAAATCATAAGGCTCGCGATATAACCATCCTATTCAGAAAAATGATAGTGCAAAGTCCAAGAATTAGTTCCACTCCAGATAAGCATTATCTACAGGCTCCCAGGGGGCAGGACCAGGATAGCTGCTCTGGGCTGTGTGAGAAAGAGCCGCTCTCATCCAGTGAGCTTCTTTCTCCATCCGTAGAAGTCACCCAAAGCTCCTTTGAGCAATGAATCAACAACCCAGTGAGCATATTTCAAAGGACTCTGTGATCTTTCATTTTATTATATTTATTCCTTTTGTTTATAAAAATTAAAGTTTTTTTGCATAGTTTAAAGATTGAAAGAGGAACTGGAGAAGTGGCTCAGTCCCTAAGAGTGGTTCACAGGACCAGAGTTCATAACCCAGCACCTAGGTCAGGAGGCTCAAACTACTGTTACCCCCAGCTCCAAGGGATATACTCACAGGCATACAACTATTTAAAAAAAAAAAAGAGTTGAAAGAGATTCTAAGAGGTGACTCTGTGGGTAAAATTCCTAGCAGTGGAAACAAAAGGGCCTGAGATCAAATTCCTAACACTCTCCTACAAAGCACAGTAGGGCCTCACTTGCCTGTAATCACAACATTTGTGACAAAGACATGCAGATGCTGGGACCTCACATGTCACCCAGCCTAGCCAAATGTTGAGCTTCAGGTTCTGGGAGAAACTCTGTGTCAAAAAAAATGAAGTGGAAAATGATAGAGAAAGAGGCTCAGCATTGTCTTCTGGTCTCCACATTACATGGGCTCACCCACCTAGAAGTGTGTGCATACACCATACACACATACACCCCCACACTCAATTGAAAAACGTACAAGTAATTTTTAAATGAAAGAGTATTGTGCAGATATGAACCATTCTACCTTTTAATCCTTGATCTATAAACTGATTTTAATATATTCAAGAAAGGTTTTCATTTTTTTATTCATGTATCTAAATAAAATATGCATGCTATTATTTTGTGATTTTCTTTCAGTTTTAACTGTCATCTACTTGGTTTTCTGTTCACATTTCCATGTGCATTCATTTGCTGTCACTACGAAAAGAAAGGGAGAAAAGCAATTTGAGGAGGAAAGGATTAGTCTCAGCTTATAGTTGTCTGTCCATCATGAAGGGAAGTCAGGGCAGGAACTCAAGGCAGGAACTGAAGCAGAGACCATGGAGCATGGACCAATGGTGCTTGCTGGCTTATTCTCCATGACATGCTCAGTTTGCTTTCTTATATGACTGAGGACCATCTTCCCTGAAGTGGTTCCATCCATGGTGGGCTGAGCCAATCAAGAAAATGCCTCACAGACTTGTCTACAGGTCAGTTTTGTTGAACATTTTCTCCGGAGAAGTTTTCTCTCCTCAGATGACTCCTTCTTGTGTCAAATTGACAGAAAAGTAACAATCTTAGTATAACACCAGCACATTTAGAGTAGTCTTAAAATACTACTGTTTAAAATTATTTAAAATATACTAATTTTTATAGCTGAGACACATCTAATTTAAACTTGACTCAATGATTTGTTCCTATTATA